CAAAGGGTGGGGGTTACTTTATTTATTGAAAGATAAGAAAAGAATAAACAATGAGCAATGCCCCTCTCAGATCACATCCCTACCACAAGTCTGAAAACACAAGCTTGTGTCCAAGGCCTTGCAGGATTCCAGTCGACCTTACAGGTTTCCTGGGCTCTGCCCTGTACATACCAGGTTTCCATTGCTGGCTCAGCTTCCCTCTCATCGAAGCAAAAGCCGTCTGTGCTGGTGTGACTGTGGAAGGTTTCCTCTCCAGTGCAGCAGGTACTCTGAAACAAAGCATCGCCCCAAGTCTCTGCTAGAAAGGTCTGATCAAGCCTAATCTGTCAAGGTATTTGTTTCTCAGCATGCACCTCTGACTCATAAGACTTCATCTGCAGAGGGAAAAATGCCTCATCCGGACCAAATATGGCTTATATCCAACAACACAAGTTCTCCACAGCGTTCTTTAAAACACACTCCAACAGCAGAGGGTGGAAAAGTGCTCCTCCACAGGTTCCCATCAGGGCTGCTCCATCCACCCAGGAGGGGTGAAATAAATGACCAGTACAGAAGAAATGGCCCCGCCCCCATCTGAGCCTTGGTTGTCCCCTTACTCAAACCAAGTTTATTTGGGTTCTTTCTTACACCAGAAACCTGGACTGACTAAAAAATAACTTCTTCTGATGTTCAAACAAAGGACCTCTCCTCTTCTCAGCCTTGTTAAAAAACATGCAGAGAAGTGTGCTCAGTACCTTCCATAATCACAGACACAATCCCAAACCAGCAGTTAATCCCTGTAAAACATTTCCCACACAAGAAACACTACTACACCTCTGCAGAAATCAGGTCATGGAATTTCTAGCAGACCATGATCAGAGAGCTGCAAGATGTTTAAACATCTGGTTATTTATCTTTGTTAAGTCACAGTGCATTTTAATCATCTAGATGTAGTCCAACCTCAGCAGCAACTGAACCTTAAAATAATCCCATTAACTTGGGCTCTTTATTTATTTTTCTGATCTAAATAAAAAGTGAAATAAAGGTTAATTAAAGCTAAAAGGCAGAGCCTGAAAGCACTTGGGGGGTGGGGGGATGGTTGGGAATATTTTAAATGAGCTTTCCTGTCATATTTTCATATTTTAAGGTACTCTATGAGTATGTCCTAACTCTGCATATAAAGATTTATCACTTTAAATATACTTACGAGCACAGACAGGGAGACAAGCCTTCCCCATCAGTATCAAACAGAACTGACAGGAGAAAGTGGAACACAGAACAAGCTTTTATCTATCCGCCTGTCTCGGACTCCCCTTCCCATCCTCCCAAGACAGAGGTCCCTAGGCTGAAACCAGGTCAGCAAACACGAGCACTGCACACCAGATCCCTCATCAAAGGACAAGGGACCAACAGGAGACCCTGCCAACAGGAGGGAACCCAATCAAGTGTAAGAGTGTCCCTGAGCCATGGGATAGACTTTGCCATCCTGCCCATCCACTACCAATCCCAGTCAGACATCTCTGCTGCCCGACCTCTGACAGTGCAGGGAAAAGGGGGCGAGCACTAACGAGCCTAACAAGTAACCCTGCTGTTCCACAGTCCTAATGAATGTAGGATCTTGCCCACAGGGCCAGGAATTCGTGCAACAGCTATCTGGGACATTCAGAACTGGAAAAAAAAAAAAAAAAACAAACCGGTTTCCAAGCCTCAGTCACATCTTGGTTACAAACAATCCACCCTCCAGACATTTGCTAGTTCATTGGCATGAAATCTGCATAAAAATGTGGCAAGGAAATGGCCCTACAAAATCCTGATGGGTCTCTGGAGAGGAACAATGAAAAATAGAGAACCTGCTGTGGAAAAACAGCAAGGAAGAGAAAGGCAGACAGCGCTGTAACCAGGACATGGGGAAAAAAAAGGGATTCTCTGTGAAGAATTCTCATGGAGAAGCTCTAAGATGAGCCAAGAGATTAAATGGAAATCCATGAAAATCGCTTGTGAAGATCCAACCTGGTATTCCGCCAAGAAGGCAGGGGTAGAGGTAGGATATGGCTTTTGGGAAACCACGGACCAACAGATGCTAATTCGGGAACCACCTCACTTTCCGCTCAGGAAACCCTGACCAAAAGAGAAATGAACTGAGATACAGAGCTCAAATCTTTCTTTAGGGAAGACACAGATGATGTAATTCAGCAGGGATCTCTGGCAGCATCTCCAGGCTCTGCCCCACAGAAGAAACAGTTCCTTTTCCCTGCTCAGAACAGAGATGCACATTCCCCCAAATCCCATATCCTTAGGGACAAGTTGAAGCTTGAATTACTGACATCACTTAACACTGCCAGCATGAGAAAATTCCCTACCATAGCACTAGAGTCCTACATATTATTCCCTACATAAGCACTAGAGCCCACATCCCTCAGGCTGTAGATCAAACACTCTTGGGAAATGCTGAGAATAAAGCAAGTCTTTCCTTCCCTTCCACTTCTTGGGAATCACCAAATGAAGCAGAAAAGAGGTGGAGAGATCCATGGCACGCTGGATGAAAGAAAGAGGAGAAAAACAGCTATTTCTCCTCTTCCCTGAAGATGATCCTTAGTTGTTACAGGTCAGGGGGATTCAGGCACTCCGCAACTGAAAACACTCAGTCTTCCTAAGGAAAAAGCCTCAAACTTTCCCTCCAATTCACAGGCCTGCACCAGCATTGCATAAATAAAGCATCCAGGAGATCCATCTCATTTTCCAACATAGAGGTGTTTTACCTTTAAATGACTAGGAAATACCTGAAAGGATCAGATACAATCCTTCATTTTACTGGACTGGTGGAACGGTACACAAGTACAGTGATGGAATTAGGTTGGGCCATGTTAATTCTGGACACCAAAAACTAGGATTTAAGTCCCAATGCTCCTCAGGTGAATCCTGAGCTCCATTTGACCTGAAGTATCCTCTGGTCTGAAAAAAGAGCTGGTCCCTTTCACCTCAGGAACTGCACACATGATCCAACTTCAATTCTACTGTCATTACACTGAAGCAAAAAACAGATGAAGGGATTTATTTACTCTGAATAAAACACAGAAATCAACTGGACTTTGGTGCATATTTCTAAATTATCTGGCCTGTGAGAGTGTGAGCTCCTTTTAGGTGTTCTCCTTATGGCAACAGGAAGAACTCAGAAATCAGAAATCCTCCTGCCCTAAGAGCTCACTGCTTCCTGACAGCCTGTTACCACCCACAGTGCTGTCGCACTGCCTGCTCCTCCAGGGATTAAGCCAATTTCAAAAAGAAAATGGGACATGCACAGGAAAAATTACAACAAACAAACAAACAGATTAAAACCACACACAAAAAGTCCAAAAAAAAAAAAAATCCCCAGACCTAAAAAAAAATAAATAAATAAAAATCAAACAAACCCTTCAAAAACCCCAAACCCACAACACTTCAAGGCAGAGATGACTCTGTATCTTGACTCTGTATCTTAACCACCTCCATGGTTTGTGCTAAGAGTACAAACACAACCTCTGGGGAGTAAACAGCAACTTCCTGTTTACAAGAAAAGAAACTGCAAAAGAATCCATTTTCCCAAGAAAACAGGAGGGAGAAAAAAAATAAAAAAAGAGACACCTGCCTGAGGCTCAACTGCCAGGGCATCAGGTACCTGACCGATAAATGAAAGTGTTCTGCTACAATACATCAAAGACAAGCTGCCACAGCCATTTCTACCTCCTCGGGGAAAAAACAGTTTCACACACACTCTGGGTTCCACAGGCTGGAAGAAAGGGGATTTAAGCAAGTTGCCCCTGGAAGACACAGGAGATACTGTATCAGTGATTTTAAATGAGAGAAAACAAAGTAGTCAACAGACTGAAGGCAGGTTAAAGGCAGTTTGACCTCACGGTTTCCTGTAAGCCTGGACTGAGGTGGATATTCAGACTCGCTTCCGGCCAAGATGCCATTTCATGCTGCAGTAACAGGTTGCCAAGCACAACAGGGATGCCTCGAAGAAACTACCAAAACCTCAGCTACACAGTCAAAGTACGTCTATGCTGTCGTGCATTCCATCTCAAAATGCAAAATTCTGCACAATCATTAAGCAAATCCCTTGCCCCTGAAACAACCATCGAAGTGTAGAGAACTGAAAGAAAAAGGCCACTTAAATTTCAAACTTATTCTTTTAATGTCTTAAAAAGGTCACAAGATTTTTTTTTTCAATCTTATTAATAAATTTTATTTGGACAAGTAGAGAACAACTTGTATCACAACAGCTTTTAAACAACATGATTAAAGACTGCAGCACTCCAAGGAGGCTCACAGATATGTACAGTATATGAAGAAAAAAGTTGCACCTTCAGAGCTGATCATGATCAAGTTAAAAATACCTGACTTAAAGTACATGTGCTAATAAATTTCCTTTAGGTCATGACCAGCATGAAAATAATTAGGACACAGGTACTCAGCAAAGTTTTCTGCTAATGGGTACAGCAATATGCTGCATTTAAGGATTAAAATCAGATTCTAGTTTAGTGTTAGCACTGAGCCCTTAAGAGAAATCCAAATTTCTACTTTTCCCCATTTACAAACATCAAAGCTATTCCCACTTAAGGGTGTGCCCAGTTGCACACAAATCAAGTCCTTGAATGACAAAAACTTTCAGCTCTAATACTGGAGGTCTCACGTCCCGGTACAAATTTGCCTCTCTGGCCATTCCGTCTATCAGTTGCTACAGAAAATACTTGCTAAGTTAACTCCTCAGGAGAAACAATGCAGGTCTCTGGAAATCACATCCTTTCTACAATGAAAATGATCTGCCAATTCAAGTTTCATTTGTTCAGGAAGACAGAAGATTTAAGGCTTCGGTGGCAAAAATAATCCTCTGAGCAGTGTTTTTCTAAAGTCAAGCTGACATAGGTATGTTTACTTTTTCTTGACTTAAAATCCCTGGTTTAGATAATATCCACCTTTTAAATCTGGCAAGAAATCCCTCCTTCCAAAGAGGTTGTTCTAAATCAACCATTTTAGAAGCATTTGAGGATAGTTTGTTTAACTTTTTTTTTTTTTTTTTTTTTTTTTAATTACAGCAACATTTAGAACTCATTAATAAGTTGAAGAAGCAGTGCTCATGGCATCATCTGCAATTTTGGTACTGGCAGGATGGATGCTTGCAAAATACTTGACGTCACTGTCCTCGTCCATCTGAAGGGCCATAATTGTCTGTTCCACAGCTTCTTGATGAGAGTTGGCAGAGTTGAGAAAATATTCTGTAAGAGAAAAGGCACAAGACTTATGGGAGGAGAAGACAGCAGATAGTTCAACGCAAACTTCAGCGTACCACCACGAGATACAAAATCTCAGAGGACAGTGCACACTGACAGTCAAACTGGAATATCTGGGTGGGCTCAAAATACACGTCTGAACATACCCATGACTTCATCTTTTAAAAAATTTCATTCCATATTACAGAGCACAGTTTCTCTGCTGGTGCTGTTCGAGTACAGGATTTCTATGGTCCTTCAGTACAAAAGCGTGACAGACTCCAGGGTCAAAGAGGAAGAAAAAGACCTGGAAATGACTCCGGAGGAGTGTGCTGGTATTTAGGACAGAGAGAAAATATCACCAAGCTTGTGGCCATGACAATCCATTTCACTGCCAGCCTTGCCAGAGGATTATCAAATGATAAAACTAAGATAATTTGAAACAACAGTGGAAGAAATTCCAACTTTTGAGTTTTCATGAACTACAGAGCACAAGGTGCACAAAAAGCAGCGTAACAACAAATAGCTCACAAGAAGAGCAGTTTAGGTGTGAGGTTTAAAAGCTCCTGAACTTAATTTTTAAATCTGCCTTTCAAAGTCTATCCAACATCCCTAATCATACACAGAACATCTCTGAGGCAGGGACTATACAAAAATACCAATACCCCAGGACAGCAGGAAGAACAGTGAGATCCTTGGCATAAGTTAACAGAGGATAAATCACTGCACATCAGCTGATCCATCTCAACCATCTCCTTATGCTTATTCAGAGCCTCCAGCGTGCACAGGACAGCTCCCAACAGCCCCAGTGCTCACTGTGTTGGCATCCTTTGCACTGTCCAGTATTCTGAGCATTCTGCATTTTTCTACAGCAGTCCTGGAGCCAGTGTATGATTTTGAGAATGAAAGTAACCAGAACTGGATGAAGCGTTCCAAGTGTGGACACTCTGCTGTTTCACAAAATACCATAATATTTCTAATGCTGTTTTCCTTTACAGTGCTTTGGGCTCTGAGCACTGCTGACTCCTCTGGCACCTGCTATGCACCAGGGATGCTTTCCTAAGCCTTTTCCGAAGTCTGCAATTTGAGAGTTGCATGCTTAGTTCCCTGAAGAGAACCCAGAGAAGCTTTTTTCCCCACTGCTGCCATAAAAAATAAAAATCACAAAGCAACCACCTCTTCTCTCCAAAATGAAAACCAGATAGTGAATTAGTACGGAAGAATTTTTCCTTCTTATTCTTTTTGCACAAAACATCAACAGATTTTTATTCTTTTTAACCAAATAAAGGGCTTAGCAACTTCACAGTTGCTAGTTGTTCATTTCTGGGTTTTGGTGACACCTCTACAAACAAGCTCCTTCAAGGAGAATGACACCAAAAGGCTGGCACAGGAGCAAGAACTCTTATTTCCTCAGCATTACACAACAGCAGGTCTGACACCACAACAGGGGTCACGGTTTTATCTCAGCTAAGGTAACATCCCACACCAATGAGACTGTAAAAGCAAGAGCAGCCCACACCTGATATTGTTTCTTCTTTCCCAGCTGACTACAGGAAAGTAAAGGGACAAAAAAATCCCCCCACAGTCAGCCCATTGCAACTCTCTCTGCCACTAACCTTTCTCTAAAAGGGTTTGCTTTAATGTTTTCGCGAGCAGGACTCGAACATTTGGAACCTTGTCAGATGCCAAGTGTAGTAAGTGTGGCAACAGATGCACAGCAAACTGGTCCATGGGCAGGCAGTCATCTTCACTGATAGTCTGGCAAGAAGGCAGAAGCAATTTCATTAAATTTCAGCACAGTGAGGATAAAATCCCAACACGCAGTCAGAGCTAACAGATCCTATTAACTTCATAGCACAGATACAGTAGTTAGTATCCACAAAGGTTTAAAATATGGTACAATACTTTCTAGCACAAACCTCTACATAATGAAGCAAGTTAGAGTTGAGGAAATTCAGGCTTAGTTACAAGCCCAATAAAGTCCGGAACTTCCCTTTTATTTTTATTTGTTTAATAACTGTACCCTTTGAACACAGGGAAGAAGAGTAGAAGACCTTTCCAATCCTTCTCAAGATTTAATCTTTGTTTTAACTAGGTACTATATTAAAACAAGAATGGTTCATCTCAATAAACATCTGTTGTACCCAAACGTGTTTCTCTAAAGAAGCTCAGAGCTCACATTTTTTTAAATACTTCTAAGAACTGTCCCACTTGGGTAGCAGCCATGTTGGCTGCCAGTCTGCACCTCTGCTACAGCCTCCAAATTTGGCCACTTCTGTGGGATCCCAGACTTTCAACTCCTCTGCTTATTTTGCTTGGTTTTGACCAAGCAGCATGAGCCAGCTAAGGAGGCACAGGCAGCTCTTGCTGATTAATTTCTTAAGGGTAACCCAAAAGAATGGTGGGCTACTGCAGAATTTTATAAAAATCAACAAAGTTCAGGGAAGTTTCTCAACTCAGGGATTATTTTGCTATGTTTCTGTCCTATATTAAACATCAGAATTGATGACCTGGTGCTAATATGCTAAGCTAAAGATGCATTCACGCTCATCTCACAGAAGAAAGTAGCCATAAAACTATTCCCTTGGAAACAAAGTTCTGAAATATTCATTAAAATACTCTCAGTATTCAGCTGGAGAGTTCCAGTTGCCATGGCCCCATAATCCTGGTCACCACCACCACCTCCCAAAACAAAACCAAAAAGACATTTCACCTGGCAAATAAAGACAAAAGTTTGCCGACCAGACCATTTGTGGCATCTACAGAACTTTTCAACGAGTTCATTCATGAGGTCTACCACAAAGGTTGACGTTGAAGCCATGTACAGCTTTTTCACCATTTCACTAACCTTGAAGAAATGAGGAAAAAAGAAATTCAATTTTTTTTTTCTGACCACCAATGCTCAGAAGTTTGAAATCCTAAATTTATTTAGGTTGCTTTACCAGCTTGTAGGAAATCCAACGGACAGAAGACACTTTGTCTGCACAGAGGCTGAAAGCAATAGGTCGCAAGTAGTCATAGATGTCTCTGGCACTGTACAGGTCTAGAAGCAAGATCAGTTGCCTACAAGATGGAAAAAAACCCAAACAGAGCATATTATAATAAGAAAAAAGGTAGCTTAACTGAATATCATCATTTATATGATAACACTTATCAAATACGCAATGTGGCTGTAATAAAATTACTGGGAAGCAAAATCTTCTATTTTTCAGTGCCATCAGTTTGACTCTGGGCCACTTGCAAATATTAAATTGCCTCTTATTCATAATACTGCCAAAACAGTGTCTGAGCTTAAAGAATGTAAAGCCAGGGCAGAAGCAAGAGGCCAAGCCTGCATTTATCAGGGATCCTGATAACAGCTACAGTGTAGGTGCAGCACAGCGATCCATCTGCGACACTGGGCGCGCACCTACATCTGAATACCTGGTAAAGACACCTCGCACATAAAACACATGTACAGCCGTACAGCAACTCCTCTGACTGAGTCTGATAAGTATCCTTGGCCACTTAAGTACATTGATTTAACACATCAATAAACTTGCTCTTCTTCAGAGTGCACTGGATAATTGAGAAATTACTATTATAGATGATATACAGCTACTGGGAATTTCTAGGCAAGGGGATGAGTAGGATAAGGGTTACCTACTAATTAAAAATGAAATAAGGAATATTACTGTAAAACCTCTATTATATTATTTTCACAATTTTAAATATCCATAACAATAAAAGCAAGCATTCAGAAAACAACATACTCAGCCAGCTCAGCACGGAAACGCCAGTTCCTGCTGTTATCAGTCACCAGGAATTCCTGAAGTTGATAAAGATACTCTCGTCTTTTGTCAACATGAAGAAGCTGTAACAGTAAATATAAACATACATAAAGAACAATAGGCTACAATCAGCAGAAAGAACAAGAGCTCTAAAATACAGCTAATGAAACACTGATCTTTATTTAAAAACCCCAAATCTTTGGCAATGGTGTTGCCTTCTTGGGCTAAACCCTATCATGCTTAAGGATGTAAAATCACAAGGGGCACTACTGAAAGCAAAATCTAATCTAGCCTCTACTTTTACTCCAGGAAACGAGAGGCATAACAGTAAAGACAGTTTCATGATTTTTGTCTTTCAGCTCCAAAAAGGAGGCAATTACAGAAAAACTTCCACAGAAATTTGACAAGTTCTGTAGAGAGGTTACAGTCACCAAGAAAATCATCGACTGCCATCTATATTTTGAATAAACATGCACAAACAAGGCTCTTCTGAGAAAAGAATGTATCAGCAACAGAGATCTCTTTCTACTATTCAGACATCTGCACATCCCACAAAAAGTTAGACCAGTGTTATGTTCAAAAGCAGGTGCATACAAAGACATGAATCACTTGTAATTGCACTTGACCAGAGTGGAACACAGACATACCTTCAGGAAGTCATGCAAGTGCTTAAGCACACCTATCCTGACTTCATCCAGGTCTTTCAAAAAGCCATTGAAGACAGGAACTAAATCTCCAGCTGTAAGCTGGTCTCCAAGGATGACAGCAAGTTCGTGTATAGAAAATGCCAGTGTCCGCCGAACCTTCCACTGCAACATAAATAAATTATTGTTATTGATCTGAAGTGTTCTATTCTAACCTGACGGTCAGCATCTAAGCTGGACTCCCAGCAACCTACAGTACTGACAAACATCTTCAAAGTGTCTCGTGTAACAACTGAAAGTTAAACTGGAAATTTAAATAAAAAAAAAAAAGGGAAAATGAAAGAGAGGACAAATGATAGGGTATCATCTCTTCCACCTGACTATCAAGGAACCAGGCAAACAGAAGTAATGAAAATATTTTAACTTTCTGGACGTCAGGAAGGAAAATAGTATTTCTGACATCAGTAGTCTTGCACATATTTTTGCTTTAAATTCTTTTGTATAAATTAGTTTCATGCTACCACTCTCTTCCTCACTTAATTTATAAAGCAGAATAAAATATATATCCCACAATATTTCAGCTGGGATATTTTAGCTTCCATAATAGGTAAAGTTTCTTCCATACCAAGTAGCCCAAGACCAGCAAAGCTTTTAGACACCCTAAATTCAGGGTGCACTATTTTAACCGAGTAGTTATTTCAAATAAGTCTTTTTAAAATAAAATAGCATCTATTCTTTAGCCAGCACTTTCCAATTAGCCTGGGTACTGTTCTTTTGCCCTGGTTTGGTGATTTGATCTTAATTCAGATTAGACTGGCAATAGAATTCCAGATTGTTTTGAACAAAGGGTAATTTGTTTTCACTTATGTTTTAAATTTATTAGCCGTTTGTTTTTAATGGCTGCAAGAGTTTGGAAAACATGAGCAATAGCCATGTATAAATTGCTCACTATGTATCACTGAGAACTGCTGCTCTGACATAGCAAGCAGCAAGTTCAAGAGAGGTGAAGTAGTCTGAGAATATTT